TGAATGCCCCTCACACGTTGTTGCCTTATGTTTATCTACGGTATACTGCAATGTGCCCCCGAGCCTGAATAACCTGTATCAAAGTCACATATAGAATTAGCAGCTAAACTGCTGGATTGCTATCCAGATACTGCATAGGCAAATCGCACAACTCCATGGTGAAAGGAAGCCCTGCCTTAGCCCATAGATCCTGTCTTATTTCTACATTCATCATAATGCTCCAGCATTACCATCTGCTCCTTCCCACCTGCTGTGGTCTGCAGTTTCAGCTCTGCACCACAACACTCCAGCAAAGTACAAGTAGTTAGACTGTGGTGGGGTTAGGATGGTGGTGACTCCCTGTTGCTATCAAGCTGCTAACCTTACTTAGTTAGCACCTAGGCTCCAATAAGATCCTTATACAAATCATGCATAAATCTTAAATCTGACCTTGGAGGGAAATCTATACCCATTACAGTTTCTCTTGGCTTCCTCTCTCACCACCCTTACAAGACGTCTAATTCTTACTGTCTCTAGGATCAATATTTCAGCAGCTTGTCATTAAGCAACAACTTATATTCAAACTGGGCCATTTGAATCTCCTAGCTGTAGAGCTGCCAGCTTTGTTTGTTTGTTTTGCAGCATGCAATGATTAATCAGGGCTAAGGCCCTGCTTTGTTCTCAGACAGGCTTAGGTCTGTTCTGGTACTAAGTTTGAAAAGCAATAGCAGAAGATACACACAGGGTCCATATGTGGCATCTCAGCTTTACAATACATGACACTATCATCAAAATTTGGTTCTTGTCTTTTTAACCCTTCCAGGGTGCAGGAAGATATTAGCCTGACCAAGCACAGATTCTTTTGCAAAGTCACTCGACGAGCACCTTAAGGCTAAGAGAGACACAATGCTGGCAGAATGTTACCAGTGTATCTCTGAGATATGCTGGCATGGGGCTTAGTTGCCATCCTAGAGTCTTTTGAGACAGGGCTTAGGATAGTGCATGAGCCTCCCTGGAACAAAACACTTGCCCATTATCGAAGTTAAGAGTTCAGAGCCCTCTGACTGGCCTCAGGTCATTGCTGCTATGAATGGAACAGGCAGGAAGGCATCAACAGTAAGGATGTTTGACTCCAAACCGACTTGTTCACAGGACCTGCTATGCAAAGAGGAGGTGCACACATCCTGCCACCTGCTGTTCCTGACCAGCCACCCTTGATTTCTGTTTAGATAGGATAGCTTCCTCTAATGCTTTGTAAAGCAGGGACAAACTTTCGGGTCACTGGTCTTCCAGCACATCTTATGCTACTTCTCTCCTTAGATATCCCTCCACCTTTTGTTATTATTATAGGAGCTTTTTATTTTTGGGGAAAAAATAAAACTGATACTGGATTTGAGCTATTGCACTTGAATACCTGTTCTCTACTTTCTTCTACTAATTTCTTGTTAAGGCTCCTCTTTTTGGAAGGCACACTTTTGGTTACACTGCAGCTCAGTTATTATGAATGCACTGTTGCAATTGCAAACATTTTAGATTTTAGATTTGAAAAAAAATCCAGAATCTGAAATTGCAAGAAGAAGAAAGGGAAATACATGAAAATAAGATATTGAGCCACCGTACTAGTGCATAGCATCAAATAAAATGAGATATGTGCTGGTTTGGTACCCAACCTAATGGAAGGGAGCGAGTGAAACACCCTGTGCAAGAATTCCCCACTCAAAGTGCTAAATATTATTATGACCCTAAAGTGAGTACAGCTAGCATAAATAGCAACAACTACTATTGAAGTCAGTTGGCTTAACTCTGGGCCAGCTGGTCTCTGGAGCTGTACAGATTCTAGCCCATAACTACATGAGAATTGTGCCCAGTGAGAGCCCCTGAAGTAACCCCTACCCCCATGCATTTTTGCATAGACAAGTGCCTTCATCTCCAGGACAGGCAATCTGTCCTGTGTAGATCATTAACCAAGTGTATTTATTCCTTTACATACATGGAGGGGTGGAGAGAAGAGACAGAATATTTTTAGCAGTGGCTTAAGGCAATAGGACGGATTATTCCATCCCTGCTCACTGCAATGAAAGATATTCCAAAATTAGCCATTTAAATTCATGGCATACTTGGAGAGCAAGTAATTAGAGATGTAATGCCAAGCTGTTCCTTTGTCAGCATTCTACAATAATGGTCCGAGGCACTATGACATAGGTGGACCTAATCCTGCAATGCAAAACTCCAGTACTGCTGATTAGGTGATAGTTAAGCCTCCCAAATCAGAACAATCATGACATTTTCTTTTGTTACTTTTGGGGGAAATCATTTGTTTTCTGGCCCTTTCTAGCACACACTGCAGTCAATAACAATGAGGTTTAGAAGATGCCTTTTTTGGAATGAAAAAGAGACACAGAATGGCCTAAATTTTATCACTAGGTTATAATTAAGCTTGTTAGGGAATTCTTGACATCGTGAGATCCATGTTAAAATTGCGAGAGTTGGTTTCCCTGCAATGTGTGTAGAATCAAAACAAACCCCACGCAAAGAACCAGCTCTGCAGGAATCTCTAACATTCCATTTCAAACAGAGTTGTTGTGATCGATGGGCCCCTTTGTACTAACAGGTTTCATCCAGGGCCAATTCACACAACAAAACTGGGTTATTGAGAAATATGGACAGAGTGGAGCACGAGGTAAAGCAGTCCACTGATTGCTTCAGCATGCAGCTAGCTCATAGCTTAATCTAGGTATTCTGCATCACTTCAAAACTTCTGAAAGTGAGAAAGGTGCAGCTACAGTAAGTGAGATGCCTGCAAGCTGCCTCTGTAATGTAACAACTGCGCAATCACTTTACCACACACCAAACTCTGCTCAGATCCATTTAATTCACATTTTCAACATGCCAACTTGGTCTTTTAAGTAGGCCCTTGCCATGAATTCACCTCTGTTAAGACAAGACGAGAACCAATCACCAACACACCTGAGTCATACTCTCAATAGCCAATGATCTTGGGAACTTCAATTATGTACCATTTGCAGTGGTTTGGAGCAATTTCAAAGCGCCTGTAGTTCTGGAGTTTTTAATGATAATTTCAAAGACATATATACCCTCTAGATATTGTTGAGAGGCAGTGGGTTCTGTGTAGTGGTAAGGAGTCTCCATGGCAGCCTAAGGATCAAACCTACCATCAGCGAAAAGCAGTGAATAAGAAGAGGGGGATTAACTTGCAACCCTAGTTCTTCTGAGAGTCCTACAGATTTCAAAAGCTGTTTTCCTGGTATGGTGATAGCATAGTGGGACTATACTGACATACTATCGTGCCCCTTAAGAGTAGAAGCTGCAGTATCAGCAGAGTGCCAAGGCAGGATGTCAATCCATGGATTTTAGGAGAAGTCCTTTGTCTACTAGGAGAAGTCTACTGCCTCCTTCAATCAAAGCAACTAACCCAATTCTGAAATGTGATAATGCTAAGATTTTGCTACCACTTATTACACTTGTGCATTTTCAACAGATTTATTGATGTAAGGCAGAATATGGACTCTTTTACTCTAAGCTGCAGAATGTTGATGTCTCTGCATAACAACACCACCCCAGTGGAAACCTTAACTCCTAAGTCATGCATTGCACGTATTCACACACAGCCACCTCCTCAGCTGCTGTAGCCAACTGGTGCAGCTCTGTTAATTCCCACTGTCAGAGGACAAATTTGCCTGTACCTGAACAAGTAACCTTGGCCTGACATTATTGCATGCACCCATCCACACCCAGAAGATGCATTAAAGAGTTCAAGATAGATCCAGTCCAAGACAACATAGTTCAGGGAATCAAACTGTCAATAGCACTCTGTACCTAGACACCTTTGGCTCTCACAATTATGTCTGATAGTTCTGCCATGTAGGTCAGCTGTAGATCTCTGCATATGATACCAAGACTAATCAATTACCAGTTGCTCCCTACATGCTGAAGACAGGTGCATTCTCTTCATATCACCTTCCCTGGCTTGGCATACACATGCCAGCAAACACATGGGGCATCTGCCTTGCTTATCAAATTTGTGCTTGGCATTCATTCTTCCTCAGCCCATTGCCTTTCCCCCCTTTTATTGTCCATGAATCTCCTTCAAGCCACCAGAGGACCTAGAAACACTATAAACAGGAATACTCTATTGTCTACTTAAGAAAATAGATATATTTTGGGTATTAAATATTAAGATCCATGCAACAAATATCCATGCAGCTGTACTGTAATACTGGCTACATTTCACTGCAGTATAAATATATTCTAGGCCACAGCTTAGTTGCTCCAGCATTTGAAACAGAATGCTTTTCAGTTCTGAATATGTGGGTGACCCTCCCCCAACCAGCAAAATACATGAGATATTTTTGAGATAAAAAATGTCTCCAGGCTCTTGATGTATCTCTACCAAAGCAACAGAAACTGTCCTACTAAACAGTGCCCCCCCCCCCTGCAAGCCTCACACTGACATGCTGCAGTAGATGAATCCAATGCAGCATTTCTCGTTCAGAAGCACAACCCTGCATGGTATATTCTCCCTTTGGCATTTCTGATCTGGAAATCTGAGCCTTGAAGTAATTTGGATGGATGTTCCATCAGTTAAACTATGCATGACCTTTTGTATGATTGGAAGCTAGATGTATAGTTGCATACTATTTCCTTGGGATATATTTTTGCATGGGCTGAATTCTATTAAATGTTATATACCTAGCTGGCATTTGTTAGTTTTTGTTTACATGGGGAGGTTTTTCTTCTCTCAAATGCCTTTCATTTGATATTGTAACATATTTTTGCCTTAAATGCTCCATATACTTGGAAACCCAGAAGTCGGCGATGGAAAAAGATTGCATGAAAGCTTATTGAGCATCAAATGTTAAAAAGTCACTTACACAACTATTGCTTTCCATGCAGAACCAATACACGTTGTAGAACATATTGTATTAACTACAATGCAAGGTATTATGCAACATCTGCAATTGTTCCACTTGAGTTTTAGATATTAAGGGTTTTTTTATTAACTAGACGTCAGTTAGCATTTTGGTTATATTAACATAGTTTGTGTTCGCTAGGGTGCAATTTGCAGTTTTCAAGTTCTCCTCTCTAAAGTCCTCATTACTATTATTCACACCTTCTTGTATCTCCATATAATCAGACTTACTAATAGTGGAGGCACTTCTGCTTTTCTTTAGGTCAGGGGAAGAAGGGATCTTTGGGCAGCTGGTGACTTGCAAGTATTGAGCTTGCTCCTCTCCCTCTGTCTCACGGTGATAGAAGTAGTTGAAATTGGACACTATAACCGGCACTGGTAAGGCAATTGTTAATACACCTGCAATGGCACACAAGGAACCAACTATTTTTCCACCTATGGTGGTGGGAACCATGTCTCCATAGCCAACTGTTGTCATGGAAACCACTGCCCACCAAAAAGCATCAGGAATGCTGGGAAACTGAGATTCGCTCTCATCAGCCTCTGCAAAGTAGACAGCACTGGAGAACAGGATGACACCAATGAAGAGGAAAAATATCAAGAGGCCCAGTTCCCTCATGCTGGCTTTAAGGGTTTGTCCCAGGATCTGCAATCCTTTGGAATGTCTGGAGAGTTTGAAAATCCTGAACACCCTCACCAGACGGATCACTCGAAGGATGGCTAGAGACATTGCCTGTTGACCTTGTTGGCCATCTTCTGGTTTCTCAGCCAGTTCTGTTCCAAGTGTGATGAAGTAAGGGATGATAGCTACAATGTCAATGATGTTCATGATGTTGGTAAAAAACCCAGCTTTGCTGGGGCAGGCAAAGAATCTCACCAAAAATTCAAAAGAGAACCAAATTATGCAGAGAGTCTCTACTATAAAGAAAGGGTCTGTAAAAGATGTTTGCTGCTGAGATCCAAAAGTGTTATTCGAATAAGGACTTGGATTGCTACTGCCACCAGGCATGTCTTCATTCTCATCCCGGAACACAGGCAAAGTTTCCAGGCAGAAGCTTACAATTGAAATCAAAATGACCATGACAGAGACAATTGCTATAATCCTGGCTGGTCCAGAGCTTTCTGGGTACTCAAACAGCAGCCATACTTGTCTCTGAAACTCATTTTCTGGTAAAGGCCGTTCTTCTTCTTTGATGTAACCTTCATCCTCCCGGAACATCTCCATAGCTTCTTCTCCAAGTTCATAAAACCTTATCTCTTCTGAGAAAATGTCTAAGGGCACATTAACAGGCCGCCGCAGCCTGCCACCAGATTGGTAGTAGTACAAAATGGCATCAAAGCTGGGTCGGTTTCGGTCAAAGAAATACTCATTCCGGAGAGGATCGAAATACCGCATTCTCTTTTTAGGGTCTCCTAACAAGGTCTCTGGAAACTGAGCCAGTGTCTTCAGCTGGGTTTCAAACCGCAGTCCTGAGATGTTAATTACCACCCTTTCACAACATTCATGGTCAGTCTCTGGGTTATAGGTGTCCTGAGGGTGACCAGGCAAAGCTGCTGCTTCATCTGTTGGGTCTCCAGTAGCAACTGTCATATTTATGCCTTTAATATAAACCTTTTGGAATGTCTGGTGGTGGGACAAGGTTCAAGGTGAATCTAATATCTGTTGCGAGGGTGAGCACATGGGCTTGGAGGTGGCTCATGAAAACGTGAAGAGGAGATCATAAAAGTCTGTCCTGCCGAAAGACAGAAAGAATAATGAGGGTATTTCCCTTCTCTTTCTTAACAGTATATATACATACATACATTGCCTTTCATTTGATTGAAAACTCTGATTTCACCATGCTATGCCATACAGGAAATCTTTAAAGACACAAAAAGAAATGAGGAAAGTTTTCTCAATGACAAAATTGTACCTTGTTTTTCATAGCCAGCACAATTTATTTAAAACTTTGGACTGCCCAGACTTCATTTTGGCACTTAAGAGTTAAGACATACCCTAGCATCATCAGATAATTCAGCATTAATCTCTAGGAATATCGTGGTAGCTAGCTCAGATTTAAACATTACAGTCTGTTTCTTCAAACATCATACCTCATGTTATAACATGCTGCATTATACATTTATCCTCAAGTTTTGCAGCCCAGTCTCCTGCTTTCCTTCCCCCATCCTCTCCCCCTTCTTATTTTTCATTTGCAGTTGCTATCTCTGCTATCTTTCACTTCTGCATTTCTATACTGAGGCTCCTCTCCTTTAATTGTCTAAGGAATAATAGCAAATAAAAACAAATTGCATTACCTGAAGGGGAGTTCTGACTATCTGACCTTACAGAGGAAGGCTTCCAAAGATCCCAAAAGTTCCTCCTTCATGAAAGAGAGAGAGAGAGAGAGAGAGAGAGAGAGAGAGAGAGAGAAAGAAAGAAAGAAAGAAAGAAAGAAAGAAAGAAAGAAAGAAAGAAAGAAAGATCTGAGTTGGGACCAGACAGCAGAAAGGCTTCTTGGTGGCTGTTGCAGCCCTTTTCTTCAAAGCAATGTCTGCCTGAATTGAAAGCCTTCTGTATGATAATAGGAAGATGCCATACTCAGCAAAAACCTGATGTCCCCAGTGTCCTCAAGAGGTGTGACGTTGCCTGGAAAACCAGCAGTAAAACAGAACTGGGAGAGGTTTAAAACAGCATCTGTAAAGACCCAGTTTTCAAATGCAGCCCTTCCCTCAGTAAGCTGTATTGCAGGCTCTAGCTATCCTGGATGAAATGTGGACAGCAACTGTGGCAATGTGAAAAACAAAGATGCATCTCTCTCTTTCTCGCTCTTTTACACTCACACACACACACACACACACACAGAGCTATATATTGCTGAAGACAGAAGGGGCAATCTACACACCATTTGGCAATTGCGTTGCTCGCGTAGGGTCCTCTGCAGTGAGGTCTCTTGGTCTTTCTTCTTAGCAAATGAAACAGAGCATCATGCTCTCTGACACACATAGCTCACCCAGCTGCAGCCAGGTCCATATCAAAGAAGCACTCAGGTTCATTCCACATGCAGGACATGTCCTATGAACCAGCAGACTTCTCCATGTGGCCTCAAGATCTCAGCCAGAAATCCCTCCTGAGATTTCCACGTCCTTAGCCCACCGCTGCATTGCCAGCTGTCCAGCCTCTGACTTGGTCTGAGTAGGTGCTCAGCAACAGCCACAGGAGGCCATTCAGTTCTCTTCTCAGGATACTGTTTTTTCTTCTGCTGGTTGCTAAGCCCAGTCAAAGGTTTTTTTCCTCCCCAAGAGAGGCTCCCTGGCATCCCATTCTCAGCAGTAGACTGCAGCCTTCTTTACCCACTCAGAGTCTCAGGATTCAAGAACTGAGGGAGGGGAGGCAAATGAAAAGCTACCTTTTAGACTCACTCCCTAGGACAGAATTTTGCACACACCTGACTGGTTATCCTTCTTGATGCCTGCCATCCTCCTTATCCCTCCAGGCTTTGCTTCGGATTCTCTTTTCATTGGATTTTACCTTTCTCCTCCCTCCTAGCCTCCCTTCTCCTTATGCATTAGAAAAATAGTACAACCCTGACAAAGCTTGCAGCCTTCAACTGCTGTACTTAACCCTTTGTGTACCAATGCAAAATCATGGACGGTTCTCATATGCTCCTTTCCCTCCTCCCCCCTCTGAATTGCAAAGGCAGACTATCCCCCTTAGGAATGGAGTGTTTTTAAGAGAACATTTTTGAACACAAAATGGCAAGGATTGCTTGGATCAATTATGATCAATCTTATTATGTGCACAAAGCAGAACAAAAAAAACCCCCAACCTTGATTTCTACATTTTTCTCTCTCTCACTAATATTGCAAAAAGTCAAGATGAATCATTAGCAAGGAAAAGATATTCCAGCAGGTTTGTTTTTCATTTTGGCTGTGATAAAGATTTTTGTTTTCCAGTTTTATGTCCATAACCTAATAATGCCAGCACTGTCTTTCACACAATATCCTCCTGTCGTCACACCAAGTGCCTTTCAAATACTGCCCCCCCCCCCCCGGCCTGGGTATTACCTAAATTGGAATGAGTGAAAGAAAAATCACTTGGTCTCTTAGGCAAATAGGTTCAGTTAGTAAGGCTTTATTGGGATTCTTGCAGGGCTGAACTACAACAGCTAAAGGCATGCAAGGTGGTTCCTGATTGAAATCCATCTCAGGTCAGGCATGGAGCATGCTACATACAATAGAACATTTCCTACAATTTCCTAAGGTAAGACTGTCTGCACTGAGCAAAGGGCTGTGTTTGACTACCCTTTTCAATCAAAATACAAAGCATTTTCACAGTTTGTGGTAAACCTCTGTTTAATGGGAGGGGGCACTGGCTTACAATTGGCTCTGCAGTTAGGCATGCAACGAATACATAACAAGCCTCCTGCACTGTGGTGGTGCTCCTCCTTACCTGCGGACAGAGGAGGCTAACTTAAAGGAACAGTGCAGAGACAGAGTGCAATAAGGCAGCAAACATTGCAGTTCCTAGTAACTGCTAAAGCGGAAGAGCTGGAAGCTTTTGTTTTCTTTCCAAAGCAGTGGCTCAGAGATCAGTTCCCAAGAAATGGGACATTCCTATTAGCATTTGTTGCTGCTGCTTCACCGCCTCCCTCCTGCAACAGGCTCAGTAATCACTTCACTTTACAGAGAGGTGGAAATAATAATCTTTCCATAGAGAGAATTTTCTCCTCAACAACTTCTTTGGAGGCAGGGTAACTCCTGGGTGGGCCTCCGGCACATAGCCCTTTGCTGATTCACACACACACACACACACACACACTCATCCCTTGATGACTGCTCATACAGTGACTTGCTGTGGAATGCATGGACTGCTTCCATGGAGAATTCCACTTGAGCGCTCTAGCTGTAGTGTTTGATGCCTGTCATCTCTGGGACTTGCACTGGGCCACTCCAGAATTCAGCCTTCAGGCCTAATTTTACAGCATCCCATGCATCCTATTTATTAGGTACCAGCTCCTAACTTTTAACCATATTTGGCAGCAGCTTTGTACCATTCATTTTGTCAATTTAGATATTTATACTTTGGGTTTTTTTCTCCACAATGGGAACTTAAAGCGGCTTGTAATATTATTTCCCCCTAGTCCATTTTATCCTTACAACAACAACACGGTTAGGCTGAAAGATACTGGCCCAAGACCAGCCAGCGAGCTTCCACACCAGAGTGAGGATTTCACCCCTGGATCTCCAGATCCTACTCTGCTGTTTTAACCACTGCACCATACTAGCTTGTAGCATACACAGTTTTGGAGCATACCCTCTGAATGTATCTCTTTTCCTGATTGACTGCCAGCTTCTTTTCCTTGATATTAAGGCCAACAACTCTATTAATATATACTAAACCTGAAATTGGGAAAAATACATGTAATTATGGCAAATTGCAACATACAGATGTCACAGGGCTCTTTTTGTAGAAAAAGCCCAGCAGGAACTTATTAGCATAATAGACCACACCCAACAGCAGAAACTCATTAGCATATTAGGCCACACCCCTGATGACACAGCTCATTAGCATATTAGGCCACACCCCCATGTTACCAGAAGTGTCGTCATCCAGCCACACCCACCTTTTGCTTCTTATTCTGTTTACCCTGTTTGTTGTCAAAACCCAGGGCTTTTTTTTTGTAGCAGGAACTCCTTTGCATGTTAGGCCACACACCCCTAACGTAGCTAGTCCTAATGAGTTCCTGATGTTGGGTGTGGCCTATTATGCTAATGAGTTCCTGCTGGGCGTGGCCAACTCGGGAGCCAGACGGAACTCCGTTCCTGTGCGTTCCTGCCCAAAAATAGCCTTGCAGATGTACAAATACATGGAAGGGGGATTTAGTAACAAACAGGGTGGCCTGGAGATCTCCTGGGATTACAACAGATCTCCAGATTACATAGATCAATTCTTCTGGAATAAATGGCAGATTTGGAGGAGACACTCCGTAGCATTACACCCCAGTCAGCTGGGCTGACTTTTAGGGGCCCACAAAAAAATGTTTTAATTTCTTTTAAAATCAGAGGGGGGAAGTGAACTCTTAGGGTTGCAGGAAATGTTTTAATGAAATATTTAGGGGGCACAAAATCTATTAAATTTTGCCTAAAACAGAAAAAAAAAGTTGAAATATTTAAAGTTATGTCAAAAATAATTTTTAATATTGATATTATTATGGCAAAAGTGCCTAGGTCCCATGAAAGTCATAATGTGGTCCTGCCACTGGGGTCATCCCCTCCCCCAGACCCTGACCTCTCCAGGTTGCACACCCAGATCTCCAGGTATTTCCCAACCTGGAGCTGGCAAACCTAAGTTACAAGGTCAGACAATTTGAAATAGAGGACTGAAATGGATGAGGCTTGGTCTCACACTAGCTTTCAGCCTTGCAGTCAAAGACGTACACAGTGATGGCTATGCAATTCATTTTTATATGATTAAGTCACTATGAGGTGTCTTTTACATAACATTTTGAGGTGTTGGGCTCTTGTTTTGAAAGTTCCTTCTATGATCAAATCTCAAGCCCGGCTCAAGTCTTTTAGGATAAGATCACAAAGAGTTTTTCGGCAAGTGGTGGT